TTTCCTCTGGCCATGTGTGCTTCTCTATAGACGTGTGTGTTTTTGTTTTATTAGACCAAAGTCGTGCACTACGTTAGCCAAAGTTGAGTGAGTGAAACGCGTTCTGCGTGGGATTCTCTAATGCGATGGTGGTGGCTGCTATTTGGGTTTTGGCCGATTCTAAAACTGGTTTTCCACTTGGCCAACTTGCCCATCAAGGAGTAGCCACGAAATAAAATCGAATGGCAGTTGAATAATACGGACAAAAACAAAAACATAAACCACACCAACAAAAGTTAAATTGCGCATAACATTTGAATAATCAAGCGCTGCCTTTCTCGCCTGTTTAGAGTGGTAGAACTTATATATATATTCTGGGACTCTGGGGATTCTCCCCAGATTCTTCATAGAAATTCCTAAGCTCGCCTGACCTAAATTCGTCGCCAGTCTTCCCAGGGAAATCTACAGAGCAAAGAAGGAAACCTTTTCTTCTGCCCACTCTTTCGGTTTTGATTTCATAATCGAAACGAAAGCTGAGCTGGCGTTGTTTCGAAATCCATTACTCAAGTTTCCAGCTTTCCTCTAGGGATACTCACTCCGTCAATACAAAGATGTGAGCTTGGCGTGCCCTTTTTTAGCTCTGGCGGGACCCGGACACAGACGGAACCACTTACTAAGCGGGACAGCGAGAGAGTTCCATCTCTGTCTGGATCTGAGTATCTATGCATCTGTAGCTGCCTTGATTTTCTCATTTTCTCACACTCCAGAGCCGCCAAACGAGGAACGCCAGTGGGCTTGGGACCACAAAGAAAAGCTGACTCGAAAAAGGGTGCTGTGTAGTGGGGTGAAGGTGGGGAAATATGGCAAGGAGGCGGGGAATAAAGCTGAAATTGGAAATGAAGAAAGGCAGAAAAAGATTTCTCTACGGCATCATCTTAATTTTTTCGAGCTGTTATATTTTCCTAATTTTTATTTTCGATTTTCTTTACGCGGCCGACTTCTAGTAGTAGATCTTCTCCAATCTACATTCCAAATTTTAGTCTTATGAATAAACCTTAGAAACTAAATCTATAAACAGTTTATCAACTTACTGCTAAGTTATTTTATTGAAAGACGGTGCATAGATGTTTGTTTTCTTCAAAATAAAATTTCGAACAACATTCTTAAATGTATTTCCGAAAATTTGAAGCTTCTGGTCATACAAATTTTTAAAACCTGAGTACTTTAATAAAAGACAACTTTGACGTGATGGGTATAAATACCTACCATATATGTATCTTTCTACCTCTTTTCAACTCCGATTGCGGGAACGGACGAGAACAAAACTGAAGAAAACGCAAGACACCAGCAGCTACAATCATAATTACGAGGTTAACCTTAAGAGTTGACACAAATCCGGGCCAGAGCTAAAAGCGAGGTACGGCGGCCTCTGCCGCTCGTTCCCAGCAATTAACTTCGAATGACACCAAATGCCACCGAGGCACGCCAACAGTCCACCAGTCCACCAAGTCGCCATCAAAATCCACCATCCACCATCTGAGATCCGGAGGAGCCGCACCACGCCGCCCACCAGCGGATCGCAATTGCAAGTGAACGGCAACTTTGAAGCCGCCCACAAAGCGACAAAGTTGCCATACCCTCGCCGAAGGGTATCATTATTCTCCTCCAGAAAATAGTAATTATATCAATCACTGCTTAGGACGACTTCAATAAAAATTATAAAAAATAAGACTCCAATAGATTCATAGAAACATATAAATGTGTTGAATATAAAAGATATGTGATATGATATGGATAATACCATTTATATAGGTACACTCATAGCAAAATTAACCCTAAATTTTAGAAATTCGCCCTAAAACTTTATTTTTTCTAAATCCAAGAAAAGATTTCTATTTTCAAGAAATTTTTTTCTCAAAACAAGAAAACTTTTCTTAAATCAAGAAAGTGTTTCTCAAATGTAGAAATTGTCGCCATAAACTGAACTCACCCTAAATCCAAGAAAGAATTTCTATATTTTAGTAAAAATGGTACTTATTTTTATACATTTTTTTCTTCAAATTAGAAATTCTGCCCTAAAAAATTATTTACCCTAAAAAATAGAAAAATTTTCTCAAATTAACCTTAAAAATTCGATAACCCTAAAAAATAGAAACGCTTTCTTAAATAAAGAAATATTTTCTTAAATATAGAAATATTTTCTAAAAAATAGAAATGAATCCCAAAATATAGAAATATTTTCTATAACATAGGAAACATTTTCTAAAATGACCATAAAATTGTTCTAACCCTGTCTGAGTAGCCTAGGGGTTAGAACGTCTGTCCAGAAATCTAAGCACCGCAAGTTCAATTTCAGCTGCCGACATCTTTCTTTTTTTCTTTTTTTACTTGTGTTATAATCACAGATGAGAAGTAATGCTTAGAACGACTAAAGGTTTTACCCTTTATGGAAAAGTAATTAAAATATTTTTTGTCATATGAAATATCATCTTAGAAAATTTGTTTTAAATATTTCGACTTTCACAGTTGCGACTTAACGAGTTCTAAAAACTTTTTTAACCTAATATTCTTCGCAAACGCCCCATCATATACACTTTGGTTTGCCATGCGCTCTTCGCGCGCGACCCTGGCTCCATTCAATGTCTTTGAACTCACGCGCGGGAGACCTGGGTTCGAATCCCACCGACGGACGAATAAAATTAAAAGTTTTTTCGGATAAGATACTTATCGGATTTTATGTGTAAGAACTGAAATAAATCATAATTGTACTAATTTCTCTCTCTCTTCCCCATAGAATTACAGTTAAAATCGATATTGGCAATTCATTCATTAGTGCAATACTAATACAAAATTGGTGACTTTTCTGAATGAAAAACGAAGTGCTTAAAAATCATATATGTACATATAATCCTGAATGAAAAATCACATACATCATGATGAATGTAGGCACATTTTTTCTAATTTTTAGAAAAAATACCCTACATTTAAGAAATATTTTTCTATTTTTTAGAAAAGTTTTTCCTGTTTTTAGGGCTCTTTGCCTTAGATTTTAGAAAGGAACGCCCTTAATTTTAGAAAAATTTACCCTAAAATTTAAGGTGCGATGCCATTGAAGTCAAAAATAAGGCGAATTTCTTGTTTTTAGGGTTAATTTTGGTATGAGTGTATATTTAGATTGATTTGATTTTGTGGTTGTTGTTTTCTTATAAAGTTATAGTGTACAAATTTTTCACAGTACTTCAATTCAAGTAAGGCTTTCAGGTTTGTTTGTTTGCAATGCTCGTAAAATATTACAAAAGTTTTTATTTTAATATAGAAAATATGCCGGGTATTCGAAAAGGGCATTTTAAGTTCTGATATTAAAATTCGGTTTCGGCTGCTGATTTACCCGCTGCTGATGATGTTGATGTTGTTGATGATGCTGTTGATGCCTGTTGATGATCTTGGCTGGCTTTGGGCATGGGCAGTTTTGCGGTTTATTTGATCAGTGTTCAACTAGCATTCCATCGATTTGTTATAGGACCAGCCGGGAAAAGGGAGGGAGACGGATAGACAGGGAGAACGAGATGGGAAGTCTTACAATTTTGTAACGATCGAGAGATGTGCCTAGCAGATACACAGAGGTTCCCTTGTGAAGTGCAATGGAAACACTGTGTGAATTTTTGTAGCGCCAAGCTTTTGCTGTCTATGTGGGCCTGTTTCTGTTTATAAGTGTGAGAGTGCTTGTTGCTTTGTAACTCCAACTAATGCAGAGAGAAAAAAGAATAAAATTGTTACCGAAATAATAGGATTCTATCAAATCAGTTTCAGAAATTAGCAAGGAATCGTTTTCTGCTTTCAGGAATATATTATATTTATCGTATCGATATCAACAATTAACATAATATGGGATCTTATTGATAAATCATCAACTATAATATTTATATTAACTAATATGTTACTAATATAAGTTATCGCTATGTAAAGATCAAAAGTTATGACCAATTTCTGAGATATTTCTTCTCCGTGTATGAGCCTTGCTTTGGGCACCACTCCCTACTTCGTAACCTCCCCTGAGAAACCCACGAACTGCTTGGCTCATTCAATTCAAATGGCTCGTGATTTCGTAAGCCCGCTTTTGTTGTTGCCCCGCTGGGAGCTGATGTTGCTGTTGAGTTTGTTGGGTTGTTGGTGTAGCTGCTGCTGCAGCGGATTCGCGATTCGAGATTCGAGGCCATCGAGCGACGACTGCAAGTGCGACTTTGGCTGCAGTTAGACGTCAAGAGATTTGCAGCATTTTTCTCCGTCTCCGTCTGCGTTTTTTCTTTTTGTGTGGCGTGATGACCTTGAGCCGCTCATTTTAGCCAAGTGGCTCTGTGTGTTGGCCAAGTGACTTACGAGTGTGTGCGAGTGAGTCGGTTACCCAGTTCCAGTTACTTTTGGAAGCTCTCGCTCGACCATTTTATCTTTCTTCGCAACGCCGGCCATTTTAAGCATTGCTAAAAAATACTATATCTCGGATATAGTTATGTTAAGAATCAACGAAGTTATAATATAATTTTTTTTTTCCCTATAGTTCCTATGGAATCTATTTGATATAGTAGGCCCTTTCCGACTTAACCATATTGAATGCAGATTTATAAAGAATCAAACCATAAGTCCCAAGAGGTATGTCACATAAATTTGGTAATGTTATGGACTCTAGTTCATTTGTGAACACGTATTTACTCGTCATCGAAAACTTGAAAATAACTAACATGAAAATGGGTAACGATAAAATGACAAATTTGAATGCAGATTTTTTAAAAATCAAGTCACAAGTCTTAAGAGATATGCCATAATGAAATCGTCTTTAACTTGGTAAAGTTATGAACTCTCGAAGTCCTATTTAGAAAGCATCGGAATCTTAGAAATAACTAACATGTGAATGGGTCATATATCCAAGTCCTTGAAATAAAAAGTTATTAAGGAACTATATATTTATTATATTATTTATACGAATCAACCAAATTGTATTTAAATGTCAACCATTTGTCAGTGTAAAAAAACTATCGTTTAAAATTTAAAGTCAATGGGAATAAATTATGCTGTCCGGGTTTTCATAATTTTCTTTTACATTGTAAGTTAATTCTACGTTCGATAAATTCCCCTGGACTAGCCAATGTCTCTTCGATTGTTCAGGTTCTGGCTTTAGTTGTTGTCCAAGCGGTTCCTTTGCCTGCTCTCCATCAGGTATCCTTTAATGACCCTTCAGATTTGATGATGAGCAGGTATGGCGAACCGCTGGTGCAGGATCCTTTTCGCAGTTTCGAAAACTCCAAAGAGAGGATTGTTCTGCAAGCCAAACAAGAAGACGGATTTGATGACAATCAGGGTGGTAAAGTCGTTTTGGAGGGCTTTGACGAGGGCAGTGGAGAAGATTGCGATAAACTCCCTTACGGACCGACAACAAAGGCAGGACAAGACCCGCTTACCGCCAGCTTTTGTGACCCAATTGCTCTGATCATTATCCTGTTTCTATTGTAAAAGATTCAGATAAAATAATTATTAACAAGAAAGGAAAGCTAACTTCGGGCGGAGCCGAAGTTGAAATACCCTTGCAGAATATTCTGTAAATTATATTCTTCTAAATTATTCATATGATGCATTCTTAATACTCATAAAAAATCCCAACTTCCTAACTTTAAAAACAACAAAGTTATGGCATTTCCAATCGTTCAGTTATATGACCGCTATAGGATATAGTCGGCCGATCCCTATGAAATTTGGTGGATTGATTGGCCAAAAATAAAACCCATAGAAAATCCCAACTTCCTAACCTTACAAACACCCAAGTTATGGCATTTCCGATCAATCAGTTATATGGCGGCTATAGGATATAGTCGTCCGATCCTTATGAAATTTGGTAGGTCGGATTAATTGGCCAAAAATAAAACTTATAGAAAATCCCAACTTCCTAACTTTAAAAACACCAACGTTATGGCTTTTCCGATCGTTCAGTTATATGGCAGCTATATGATATAGTCGCCCGATCCGGCTCGTTCCGACTTATATACTACCTGCAATAGAAAGACAACTTTTGGGAAAGTTTCAAGCAGATAGCTTTAAAACTGAGAGACTAGTTTGCGTAGAAACGGACGGACGGACAGACGGACAGACGGACAGACGGACAGACGGACATGGGTATATCAACTCAGGAGGTGATCCTGATCAAGAATATATATACTTTATAGGGTCGGAAATGTCTCCTTCACTGCGTTGCAAACTTTTGACTGAAATTATAATACCCTCTGCAAGGGTATAAAAACTAAAGAAATTGGGTGTACTTTGTGGCTAGATGCTAGAATATTCATTTAGCGCAAACAAAGAACTGAACCGATAATTGGGCTTTGGTTTTTTAATTGACTTTTTTACCCAATGAAGAAGGGAAGGAGAAAGTGCATATTCCAAAACATGACATTTTCGGCGCATTGCCATTTTTCGTTCAACTTCTGCTGTCGTGGTTCGTTTCTTATGCGTTTCGCGAAATTGTGACAGCCACAACCGATGACCTAATTACTTCGGGGGTTCTTGGGCACACAGCCAAGATACGGGGGTATTCTTGGGGGCCTGTTCTTGGCTTCGCCGTTTCACGTTTACTGAGTTAGCAAGAAATGCCTCGAATGTTGCAACAGCAGCGCTTCAAGCGCACTCATGAGACATACATTTTGGCCATCCGAAATCGAGCGAAGCGAATTTCGCAAATAATTGGAGCAGTTTGCCAAAGCTCACGTTTGGACAAGGTAACACTTGGCCAAGGTAAAGTCAGTTCTGATAGTGCCATATGTGGAAAAAACACAGTGCCACGCCGAGCCGAAGGGAAAACTCCGAAATCGATACGTGGTATTGATATTGCCTCCTTATCGGTGGAGAAGGAGGGAGGATGGAAATGAGTCCTGTTGGCTACTAATCGGAGCTGCCTCGTCGATAAGGCAAATCAACACTCGATAAGCGTCCTGGGACATGGCCATACTTATTCTTATCGCAGCCAGGAGCTACGTATATGTATGAGTGTATCCGTTGTAGGTTTATCTGCAGTGGAAAAACAATGTGTTTTTTTTTAAAGGGAAAGGAGCTGCAGCCTTAGATCGGAAATTATGATTTTAATGTTATAGGGTTAACCTGATGATAGTGCTAGTTTTAAATGTTATAATAATAATAAACATTTAATATTATTTAAGGATTCAATTTAAATATTGATAAAAACATAAATTAGAGCACTATTATCATTTGTATTCTATAACATAAATAAATATTGAATAATATTAAAAGTTAATTTAGAGCAAAGTAGTAAGAAACTTAAAAAGGGATTTCTTACAATAAATTCTATAATTCATCTTTAAATAATAAGTCTATTTTCCACAGTGTTCAAGGCCACAAGATTTCTGTATCTGCACATCCTGGCATAACTCGATCCACTATCAGTCATACGATAAAATCATAAAAAAATAAATAAATATTGGACATTATCGTTAAATATTTGAATTGATAAATGGACGTAGGTCCTAAAAAGGAACGTCGGTATTACTGTCCCACTATCAGTTTGTTTTTCTGGGGGCGTTGACCAGGGCTCCGTGGCCGAGGTCTCTTATCAGCGGCGGGGAGGCGAAAATCGAGAGCCGCCAGTCTGGGACATTGTCCGGCGATGACTTTAAAATCCTCCCGGACCGTCGAGGGGCGGAAGACCCGCAGAGGCTTATCACAAGACCAGGCGGCAAGCGTAAATAATACAATGCAGAAGAGGGCAGAGCCAGAGGGGAATGCCGGTGAAGAGGAGAGGGCGGGAGAAGGAGGCAGAGTTTTCCTCGGCCACGGGAAAAGCAGGAGAGCAACGTGCGATAGGCCAAGGGGCAAATGAGCTGAAGGAAATCACAAAAGAAAAACAAGAAAGGAAAGCTAACTTCGGGCGGAGCCGAAGTTGAAATACCCTTGCAGAATATTCTGCAAATTATATTCTCCAAAATCATTCATAATGCATTCTTAATACTCATAAAAAATCCCAACTTCCTAACTTTAAAAGCACCAAAGTTATATCATTTCCAATCGTTCAGTTATATGGCAGCTATAGAATATAGTCGGCCAATCCTTATGAAATTTGATATGTCGGATTGATTAGGCAAAAATAAAACCCATAGAAAATCCCAACTTCCTAACTTAACAAACACCAAAGTTATGGCATTTCCGATCAATCAGTTATATGGCAGCTATAAGATATAGTCGGCCGATCCTTATGAAATTTGGTAGGTCGGATTAATTGGCCAAATATAAAACCCATAGAAAATCCCAACTTCCTAACTTTACAAACACCAAAGTTATGGCATTTCCGATCAATCAGTTATATGGCAGCTATAAGATATAGTCGGCCGATCCTTATGAAATTTGGTACGTCGGATTGATTGGCCAAATATAAAACCCATAGAAAGTCCCAACTTCCTAACTTAACAAACAGCAGAGTTATGGCATTTCCGATCAATCAGTTATATGGCAGCTATAGGATATAGTCGGCCGATCCCGGCCGTTCCGACTTATATACTGCGTGCAAAGGAAAGAAGGGTGTGTGCAAAGTTTCAATTCGATATCTTTAAAACTGAGAGACTAGTTCGCGTAGAAACAGACAGACGGACAGACAGACGGACAGACGGACAGACGGACAGACGGACAGACGGACATGGCTATATCAACTCAGGAGGTGATCCTGATCAAGAATATATATACTTTATAGGGTCGGAGATGTCTCCTTCACTGCGTTGCACACTTTTGACCAAAATTATAATACCCTCTGCAAGGGTATAACAAGCATTTGCGGCTGGCAAAGTCAATTCGCCTTGCCACGGAATGTCAGTACCAGGAGTATTTGAAGAAATTGTCTAACTTTAAAATTAAAATTATAATATTTATTTCGGGTTTTAAGAAATAAACCTAAATATTTTTTCTGATCAATTGAATTCCACTTTAAAAATACAATACCTTTTTATACCCTTGCAGAGGGTATTATAATTTCAGTCAAAAGTTTGCAACGCAGTGAAGGAGACATTTCCGACCCTATAAAGTATATATATTCTTGATCACTATCACCAGGAGAGTCGATCTAGCCATGTCCGTCTGTCCGTCTGTCCGTCCGTCTGTCCGTCCGTCTGTCCGTCTGTCCGTCTGTCAGTCTGTCCGTCTGTCCGTCCGTTTCTACGCAAACTAGTCCCTCAGTTTTCAAGCTATCTGCTCGAAACTTTCCCCAAAGTTGTCTTTCTATTGCAGGTAGTATATAAGTCGGAACGAGCCGGATCGGGCGACTATATCATATAGCTGCCATATAACTGAACGATCGGAAAAGCCATAACTTTGGTGTTTTTAAAGATAAGAAGTTGGGACTTTCTATGGGTTTTATTTTTGGCCAATCAATCCGACATACCGAATTTCATAAGGATCGGCCGACTATATCTTATAGCTGCCATATAACTGATTGATCGGAAGTGCCATAACTTTGGTGTTTGTAAAGTTAAGAAGTTGGGATTTTCTATGGGTTTTATTTTTGGCCAATCAATCCGACATACCAAATTTCATAAGGATCGGCCGACTATATCTTATAGCTGCCATATAACTGAACGATTGGAAATGCCATAACTTTGGTGTTTTTAAAGTTAGGAAGTTGGGATTTTTTATGAGTATTAAGAATGCATCATATGAATAATTTTGGAGAATATAATTTACAGAGTATTCTGCAAGGGTATATCAACTTCGGCTCCGCCCGAAGTTAGCTTTCCTTTCTTGTTGTATTTAATATTGAAAGAAAAGATTGAAATTGATTGAATTTTCTTAAGTTCTGACCAACCAAAAGTATTCGTTTACTTTAATACATCAAATTTTAAATCATTGCGAACAGGATCATTTTTTCTGCGAGTGTACAGTGGTGCTGGTTGTCTAGGAAAATAGTACTGCTGAAGTGGACAAGTGATAAAGCAAGGAGAAGGTAGAAGAGCGCCGCGTAGAATCCATTAGCAGTCGCTCGGAACGGAATGGAGGGAAACTCCCGATGGGCGGGGAAATGGGGAAATAGGAAAATGTGTAAATGAGGGAAGGGGGGGAGGGGATTGCCGGAGAAGGCGGCAAAAAGTGCATGTGAATGGGAATGGAAATGGGTGCATGAGGAGTCCGCCAAGTGGCAACCAAGTGCATCCCGACTCCTCATTCTCGTCTCTTTCTCTCGCTTTCCTCGCATTTTCTTCTGGGGGAAAGGGTTCAATGCTCGATTTCCTCTATCTGCAGTAGTTGCCATGGGAAAGCCGCTCTTCGAGAAATCTCTCAATGAATGCCTCTCAGCAGGATCAACCCCCAATTACGTTTGATTAAAAACTTGAGCAAGCTGTTGTTTGTTAATTCTGCGGGTAAAAGGATCCCTCGGCTTGATTGCCTTAATTGAGGTCGATGGCAAATTTAATTCAAGTAGTTCCGCCACCGAAAAATAAATGTAATCACAGGGTAACACGCGTCCG